GGCAACGATAATACGATATGAAAATACATATGCACCAACTGGATACTCACTGTAACATAGTCATAATTTAACGCATCGAGCAGCAGCATCGATTGATATTGTGGCGCTTAGGACCATATCCGGCTTGAAACTGTCCGGTCCAAGGAATAAAACGGAAAAGATAATCGACTAAATAGAGTTCATTTAGTACCAAGATAACTGTAAAATCTATTTAATACTTGGGATATTTAAAAGAACTGAAACATTTCGTGGGCTGTCGTCAACAACAGAAAAAAGTCCAAAATATCTTGGATTTCAAGTTACAAGCATCATTTGTGTAAAAAATTATGACACATACGACACTATGAATTTTTTTATTGACTTTAATATATACGTTAACAATCAACAAAACTCTGAGATTCTAACTACGATCTTGAGTCATGGAGGTTATACTTGGCCCTCTGTAGCGATTGACGAGTCGTAAATCTGCAGGTATAATAACATCGGTGGCCCAGGAATCGAGGGTCGGTTTTAGCCGTGGAGGTTCGTGGCTAACCTTCTCGCAAAACATACCTGCATATATGTATACCCCGCGGCACGATGATGCGAAGGCGTGTATAAAAAACAAGGAACCGCCCAAACATCTCGTGGTTGGTGTTTTCGTGTCCCTACCTAAGTCAAGAGCCTTCCAAGATGACCTTGGAGGGAGAATGTCGAGGTTTCTCGAAAGAGTGAAGCATAGAAGTCGTCAGAATTCTGAAAGCACGTGGAGTGGTTCTGATGTTGGGTGTTCAACTTATGTTGAATTTGTGAGAACGTTTTGAACTGTGCGACTTGTGAACCATTAATATTTGAACTTTTCACTTTGAATACATATAATATTGTGGAAATGGAATGCGTACACTGGATATAATGGAATTCGAACTGTAACTTGCGTCATTTGTGCATTATATGTACTAACTTATATTTGCCTTACTTGATTTATTATTACCCGTAATACGTATATTAGTACTTTGTTAATTAGTAATTAGTCAGTTAATTAGTGTGGTGAATTTATTAATAATCATTTTTCACGATGTATCGTCCATGGAAAATTGAATGCCCGTCAACAAGTGATCAAGTGGTGGGAGTGAAACTAGAAATTCAGATTAAAGAGGAAATGTTGGAAGAAACTCAGACGGAAATGGGAACGATGGTACAACCTCCGTTTCACGCGGTAGTAAAGGGAGAAACTCTTATAAAAGATGAATTGATAGGAGGAACTCAGATAACACAGGAAGTGATGATAAACACTTCGATAAAAGAGAAAGTAAAGAAAGAAAATCAGATAAAAAAAGAAGTAATGGAACAGACTCCGATTGAAGTGAAAATGATGAAAGAAATTCCATTTACAGTGAGTGTGGAGGAAGAAATCCTGACAGAGATAGAAGGCGAAAGTGCTTCTCAATCTGAAGATTTGAACAAAAATAATAAAAAGAAGAAAAGAATACACTTATCAGTAGACGCACAATCGATTTGTCTTACAGTTATTAAAAACTTGATAGCAATCGACGGCATATCGAAAGAAGCAGCGGTGCAAAGGACAGCAGCACTGACAAGTGTATCTGCTACGAAAATACGCACTCTATTTAAGCAGGGTATTAAAAGCAGGAAGAAGCGTAAAGATTGTGGCGTACGCAGAAAAAAAAAATCGTAATGCGTTATGTGGCAAAAATTCAACAGAATTTTTAAATAGACAACACCTGTAAAGAATGGTCGAAAAACAGTTATTACACAATATTAAACCAAATATCGTGATAATTATGGACAATGCATTGTATCACACTAGATACATCGACAATAGTTCAATAAGATTGAGTTCGAAATTGCAAATACAAAATGTTTCAATGGCCAAACGGTTTGTGTTTCGAAAAAATTACACAAAGCAACAATTACTAAAAGTTCTAAATACGATAAAATTTAACAAAACCTACGACACAGACGAGATGGCAAAAAGAAATGGCTATAGGAAACTGAGATTGCTTTCATATTAAGTACTGCATTTTTAACTCCATTTAGCTGATTTGGGGAAAATGAAAATAAAATTGACGACGCAAAAATCAATATCCTAGATTCCATAGACAAGCAATGGAACTGCATATTAAAAGAAGAAATAATACAAGAGACTATCATTGGGAAAATACCGTGGATAACAAAATTTCTATAGAAGAACAATACAAGCAAGAAATCGCAGGAACAGAATACTTCAACAATTCGGAAAACAACAGAGGAGCTCTATTGTAAGTATAAATATCGCAACTTATGTATACTCTACTAAACTCTACGAACATACACGGCTAAAGTTCTTCGGCAACTGAAAGGGTACACATGTGTACACTTTCAAACACAATAACAGTGAAGAAAATGAGATTGAATGTTTAGCCTTGGAAGTAATGTTACCGTAGAATGTAACGTGGTCTTCAAATCAGTCGAGCGGTACAGCAGAAAAGTTCAAGCGCCAGAATTTAAAAAAAAAAAAGCGGGAGATAAGGAGCACGTGCATCTTTCAGTGCCGTACAAAATGTCAATGTGGAACTTCTGTTACAATATACTAAAAACTTTGTTACAACGTACGATTAGAAAAAGAAATTCTAAAAATGCACAATTTATTATTTTTCGCACAAGACATACATACATATACAATTTTATAGATATAGAATTATCAATACAGAAGTATAAGATAAGGGCCTGAACCTTCGAACAGGCCCATCCGAAGAAATGTTTAATTTTGTCACGATAGCGGTTAAAGCTTAATATACATAGAGTCAGTGTGCCGACTTTATACAATATATGTAAACTAAAATTCCAAATATTCAAAATAGTAATTAATATAGAAATACCATTAGTCATAAATCGTTATTCTTTTATTGTACGGGATCCTACAATGAACAAAATGCAAGATACGGACCATTTGAGAGTACCTTCAACAATTTTTACTCTCAAATAGTCACTAGAACACTAGCCGAGAGTTTACTGTCCGACAGAACACTCAGAATCGTATTCACTAGACTAGATCGACTAGACCAGCGGACCACTCTGTCTTTTTCCCCTATCGGCCTGCTCACTTCTGTCGTAGGGGACTATTCCCTCTCCATACCCACCGCGCTTCTGCTTGAGATCACTGCGCATGCCGCCAAAACAAAAAGCAGCTAGTGCGCACGCTCCGACACTCGTTACTTCGCACATTACACCGAGTAGTGAGGGGACCGTCTGTCGGACGGTAAAGACCATTTCGTCCTTACCAACGACATGTTGGAGTCTAAAACAATGTGACATATTCGCATTAACACCAGTGCGAAATTCACATGTTTATTCAAATCGAATTACGAATTTTTCACGTCGACCTGCGGGATCTAGTTTGATAAATTATGTAAATGAATTACTATATGATGATATTATTAGACTGACGAATAATGTTTCTAACTTCGTTGCGTCATGAAATCCGTAAAATTAAAAATTTTCGTAATTTATAAATATTATTTGAAAATATCTACGTATATTCTGATACGTTTCTCCCTACATTTAATGTTTACGGGTAAAGGCAAATGTGATAGCAGTATATACATATCTATACATATGTATTAATATTATATTGGTTTGTATACCATGAACTTGGTTTGTATTAATGCACATCAATTGGAATGTATTTATGAAAATGCAGTGACATTATTAATACATTGCATCGAAAGAAATGATAGTTCTGAAATAAATTTTGGCCTGGTGACAAATTTAGAGAGGAAAATGTGAGAATATAAGTATCTGATGATAACCAGTTGTGTTATGTTATGTATAACAAGTTTCGAACAAATTACCAGCAATAAATGACAAAAGTTATCTAAAAAAACCATAGCCATCTGTTTCCGTATTTGACTTGGTTTTGCAGGCAACGCCAGCTGACAAAATAATAAAGCAAATTGGCACAAAGTCTTGCAACATGACCTATGTCAAATTGAAGGCAAAACCGAAACAAGGTTTGCGCAAGCCAATTTGCTACCTATGTGGCTGTCAATGTGTGCGCAAGTTGTTTATAGCAAATCTTACATAACACTCACAGATAGCATATGACGTCTAATGACGCCTTGAAGACTGATTAACGGCGCCTTAGACCTAAAATAACCGTAAAAGGGGTGTCTTTAAGGCGTCATGTGCTATCTGGGCTTGTAGCCATAACTTTATTACAGGCATTTGACAAAATTTGGCTGACTGGGTAGATATTTCAAATAATATTTATATGTTACGAAAATGATCAATTTTACGGATTACGTCCCAAATAGCACACAACGCCTTGAACACGCCCATTTTAAGGCTATTTTATATCTAAGGAGCCTTTAAGCCGTCTTCAAGGCGTCATTAGGCGTCATGTGCTACTTATCTGGGATGACGCAACGAAGTTAGAAACATTTGTCAATCTGCATACATAGTAATGTGAAAATTCATTTACAATAATTTACATCATTTAATAAATTGGATCCCACGGATTGACGTGAAATATTTGCAGCAGCAGGGAAAAATTCGAACATCGGTGTGAACAAATACGCGATTTTCGCTGCCGTTCCTCGCAAACATTTTGTCTAGATTTAGGGCCTTCTTTACACTTTTTTTGTCCCAACTTTGCAAGGGGATACCAATTGAAGCATTCCATTTACCTATATAAAAAAAATAATTGAATGAAATTTTGGTTACTGTTTCTCTTTTAAAATAATTAGAAATCGCACTAAATGTAAAAATCAATCGAAACATAGTTTTTCATTATGATCAAGCGTTCAACGCTTATATGTTATTTAATTTTATTTAGAATAAATTTCAATTTTTGAAAATTTATATACTTTATTGTATGTTTTATCATAAAAAAATGTTACCCCCCTTGCTTTGGAACTAAAGGTGCTCTCGAAGGTTTTTTAAAAGAAGTATAAGGAATGTTATTTTTAAACTTAATACAATAGCAACGTTAATATGTAATAACATTATGTTGTATTTTACAGAAACTGTCAGTAGTGCAAGTCAAGCACTAAGTTCATCCAACAAAATAAGTTTAAAATCAAGCTGTCCGTACCCATCCTTTCAACCAAACAATGTATCATTGGAAGCAGCAAATGCTTTGGAAATACTGAAGAATACATTCTGTAGTCAAGAAAACTGTATAGCATCTTCACTAGAAAATTTGAAAACTGGTTACATGTCTAAGAAAAGTAAAGGAGCATGTATAAACTCAAATTACGACGCATGTTTAAATAGAAGCAGTAGTATGAACCAAATATTTGTAGATGATACCTGCTGCATGGCACAAAGTTGTAAACCCCCTTCAAAACTGCATTTACCTACAACAAATGTCTGCAATAGACCTAACTGCTCTCAAGTTCGTATGAAATCAGACAGTAACTGTTTTAAAATTATTCCTACTGAGATGTCTAATACTCAAAGGTTTTAAAGTAAATTACTTCTGATAACATTAAATACATAAATAAAATAAATGTATATACATTATTTACCATATTTTGTGTATTTGTAGAACAGCCAATACATATCACAATGTAAACATGACTTTAGCTGTTCAGTCCAGAGCTGCAATTTATAAACAATTTTTACAAATAAAATAATATTATATAGTATTAAAAAACAATATTTTTTCTGTTACCACACCTCACTTTAAGGATAAGATATTAACATTGCATTAAATTATTCATTGTTCTTTCTTTTATTTAATCACTATCAGACTGCAGATTTTATACATTTATAGCATACACAAATTGTTCAAAACTTGATATACTAAACGTTTTATATAGTTTAACGAAATTTTAATTTTACTTCCAATTTAATCGAACCCTCAATAGAATAAATTAATCTTCGTTTAATTTCAATTTTGCAAATTACACGATAAAATGTATATTTGCATAAACATCCGCAGTCTATTCATTATTTGCCGGTGAATATTCTAAACACACAGACGCGTCATATTGTTTCTCTGTATACATTCGCACATTTACAGCACCAAAAGCATAGTAAATAACTCACTGGCAATGTCACGGCATTATTGATGTCAAACTGCCCTGACCTACAATTGATTGTACTTAAACATATCATGTATGATTTGGCACAAAAACAAGAAATGCAGTTAGGAGTATTTTTCGCGCATCCATATATTATGGTGTTTAAATATTCTAATAATAATTTAGATGTTTTTAAAACTGGTACATATCGATTTATTGACCATATGACACAGCACTGAAATTATTAAATTCAACCAATATTTTTTTTATTATTCAAATTTATCTTTCGTAAACCAGTATGCGTTGTTCCTTGTATATTTATTTAATGTTAACGTTTTGAACAACTTAAAGCGCACTTCATTAGTCAAAGCAAAAGACACTTAACAATTCATACTAATTCTTGTGATTACATACCAAGATATTCAAAATGCTGTTTTGTTTTTTATTTTTTTAGAAAAATGCGTATTTCTATAGCTATGTTATTTTGGAAGCTTAAGGAATTAAACGAAAATAGAAGAGAAATACTTAACTTATGTATAACTAATTCAAAATTCAATTCAAAATGATGATGGTTAAGTACATAATTTAATACATGCTAAAATTGTTAAAAATTAGTATGTATAGTAGAATAATAAATAATTAACCAAATTTATCTAAATTAAATAAAATGTATGAAAGTGACACTTAGAAACCAATATAATACCAACTTTTACAATAACTGGACATAAATAGTAGATTTTACTTTAGTTAATCAAGGTCTAACTTTATTTTCTCAAAGCATTAACCATAATTTTGGTTTCATTCTTAAACACATACCAGAAAATTGGTTGAAATCAGTAACACCAATGCTGTAATCCTTCTGTGTAAAATAATAGTACAATTATTGATTCACAAACAGTTATTTATATCTAATGTATAATACAGACGTATGAGTACATTTAACACTATATAAAAAAATGTAGATTTCTTATTATTGCATTTCATTTATCATCGAAGGTGTAAATTGAAGTACAAAACTGTGTAAAAATATTCTAAAAAAATAATTAGTATATTCTTAATAAAAAATTCTCAAAATTCAATTATGGAATACCAATAAAGGTACTTCACACTAATGTCTGGATTTCTATTGTACAAAGTATTCATACTGGATTACGAAGATCTACAAATTTCTATAAAACGTGTATGTGAAAATTAAGAACTCATACAGACTGTATGTACTGGACATATTAAAAGTTATTCGTTCAGACGCGAACCAGATGTTCATATGAAATGTGTGTAATGTAAATAAATTTCAATACCAAAACAATTGTCGAAGTTTTCCTATGTCTAAATGAATTAGCTAGTGTGTAAAATTTAGAAATGTACATATAATTGTTTCAGAAATATCATAATAGTATTGTATAGTATGAGTCATGAAACTAATTTCGTTTATTTTTATGGTATCGAGACAACAAGACCCGGAAAGAATTCGCAAATTAGGAAATGCAGGAGGGCACCGTGATTAAGTTGATTAAGGCACGGGCTGACTAACCGAGAATCCCGCTTTTTCTTAAGGTCTTACATTTTGTATGTTTTAATAAACATATAGAAAACATTCATTGTTAATCTTTAAGAAATGCTGTTTTTACGTAGTAGACTTATAATGTGTATTTCACATCAATTAGAATTATTAAAAAGTAATTACGAAGTTAAAGACGTTCATTTTCACTTTCATCATCCACCTGTAACTCCTTTGTAGGTACTTCAGTCATTTGTTTTTCTTCGTCAGGAATAGTCGATTCTTTATGTTCACTTAAATTATTACATGTTTGTATCTCTGCTGA